AGTTCAAAATCATGTGCTCCCGACTTATTTTGATCTTACTTTTGATCTTAAACGTATCTGTTTGAGCCTCGTTTTCGGGATTTTGGATTCTTCCATCAACAATGGATTACTAGGTAGATCTAGATGTATCCCATCTTCCAATGCTTCACTTATTAGTTTACCTCATTTCTATCTCCATCTCTGTGTACACAGGTATAAACACACGAACCATGGGTGAGAGAGAGAGAGAGAGAGAGAGAGAGAGAGAGAGAGAGAGAGAGAGAGAGAGAGAGAGAGAGAGAGAGAGAGAGGGGGGAGAGAGAGAGAGAAAGAGGGAGATAGAAAGAGAGAGGGGGACAGGCAGGCAGAAAGACAGACATGCAGACAGACAGACTGACAGACAGAGACAGAGACAGAGGCAGAGACAGCGAGAGAGAGAGAGAGAGAGAGAGAGAGAGAGAGAGAGAGAGAGAGAGAGAGAGAGAGAGAGAGAGAGAGAGAGAGACAGAGAGAGAGACAGAGACAGAGACAGAGACAGAGACATAGATACACACAAAGGGGATATATATATATATATATATATATATATATATATATATATATATATATATATATATATATATATATATATATATATATATATATATATATATTATATATATATATATATTATATATATATATATATATATATATATATATATATAGAGAGAGAGAGAGAGAGAGAGAGAGAGAGAGAGAGAGAGAGAGAGAAAGAGAGAGAGAAAAAGAGAGACAGACAGACAGAGAGACAGAGAGACAGAGGCAGATATATTAATATGTATACTATGCATACGCACACGAATGCACACACAGACGAACGCAGTGCACGCTGTTAATCACATATCTGTCTCCACAACTACTTGCATTCTCCGTGTCCTTAGAGATCCTCAACAGCTCAACACCCTCTCCCTTCTCCCCCCTCCCTTCTTCCCCTCAACCCATGCTTTTAAGACATCCATGAGTGCTGTTACCCCTTGTTTAACAACGCCTGTGCTGCAGCGTGAAGCGTTCGGGAAATTGTTTACATAATATAAACGTATACAAACTTGGGGAAAAATAGGTATACAATGTGACCTGTTGAAAAAGTAAAATCAAGAATGTATTATGCATAAGGCACAACTAGCCTACCTGCTTGAGAACAAACGAATGAAATTCCGTCTTTTTTTTTCTTGTTTTTATCATTCATCACCACAGACATACGCATGAACGGGCAATTAAGATAACACATAACTGCTTGTTAGTGCCTTCTTATTCCTATGCATACAGGGCTGTATTTTTTTCGAATGACCCTCGTCCGAATTCTCAATAGCTTATTCTTGAACTTTTTTAAAAAGCCGTCCAGACTCCCAATCTACACATGATTTGAAACCCAGATTTTTCTTTTCGCCCTTCACTCTGGTTACAGCGGATTATTCTGATAAATCGTCAAGCCATTCTAAAGCGTTGTTGCTTTGTTATGAAGCCTGTTAAAATAATTATGAGTATAGTTTTTAGTATTTTTTGGTGTGGTTTTTTTTTTTTACTTACTTCAGAATTGGGTTTACCCTTTTTTAACTCCCTTTACCAGTCCTGTTCTTTTATTTCAATGATATGGCTTCAGCCGACAAAGCTGTCGACAGTGCCGATACAGTAAAGTACATATGTTTTAATAAATGGGTAGTTTTGCAGCCTTTCTAATATTTTATAAAACATACTATACTGGTATTTTCAATTTGAAGTCTGTAATGGACTTCAGACAAAAGTGCTGATATTACTAGAGTAAGAATGGTAAATCTATAACCGAAAAAAAGACGGGAAAGCAAGTATGAAATAGGAGGTTCTAGCTAAAGTACATTGGTAGCCGATTTACGTAACTTTAATTAATGCAAATTGAATTTTTAGAAGTAACCACCACACAGTGCAAAGAAAACAAACCCCCCGAATCAAAGAGAAAATCAAAACATTTTAACGTATGAGTTTTGAAGAAGAAACAAAAATATGTACATACAAATAAAAATGTTATTATAATTTAAATAAATAAATAAATACCTTTTCCTCCAATAAAATTATATCGTCGACAATTTACGTTATACATTTAATCTTTAGGCAACTTTCCAAGGTTCTGCTGCGAACGGTAGCTTGCTTGTGTTGTGTGAAAGTTTCGGTAGAGTAACCTCCGCCCGCAGGATAGGCTGGTCTGGTAAGATAACAACATAGGCTGGCTGACTGGCGAGAAGGCGGCGAGTTATCCCTTTATAAATATCTCAAGCCACGTCTCCGTCGGTAGGGAAAAGCCACACGCTGTGATAAAAACCTACAAATTCGTCATTCACGAGACGTTTGTTTTGGGTACCCCCATACCTCTCGCGACGGTAGAGACCCGTCCCCCATCCTCCCCCACCTCGGTCCCGCCTACTGGCAGAGAGAATGTCCCGTCGACCAGGCGCAAGTGACGGTTTGTTAAGTCTCAACGCCGGTATACTTTAACGATGCGTCACTAA